AAAAAAAAAACAACAATTGAAATGCAATGCAAATTAGTTGGAAAAACAAAAGCGTATTGTTGAAAAATAAATAAATAAATATTGTATGTACTCGTAATGCTTTAGAAATGAAATGAAGGGATTTTAAAATAATTTGCAGAGCATTAAACGATTCTTCATGATTGAAGTCTTTTGCTTTCACTTTTGTTTTAAATTAAAATAAGCCACTGCCGCAGTGACACACGCCAACCGATACTTACGAATATTGTGGGCACAGCTCATTGGTCCTATGTCCGCAACGTGTATGTATTGGTAGAGTGTTTTTTCTATGAGATCTTGCGGCTCGTAGCCAGTCAGTTGAGATACCCTGCAAAATGGGAAGCAATAAATAATGGCATTATTATAAATTTTATATTTCTTATAAAATTACTTGTTTGGCCTGGGTCAATAAAAAAAAAAAAATAGCACATAGACCTGCAATAAATTTTTATAAACTTCACGATCGGTTCAAAAAGTTATGTTTTAAATGTAGTTTTCATCAGCTTTTTAATGTCCTCTTACTTGACCAAGTCCGTTCTTGCATTACCACGACAAGTTAGGTTAGGTTGGGTGTATACCTTCACACATACATACATACATATAAGCTCATTTTGATAACAAATCGAGTTTCCATTCTCTTATTCGTCTTCTTTTCGAAGACCGGTTCTCCATTTTCAAATGAAGAAAAACCGGGGGTTTTGGGGGTTAAACTACGTCAGTCAGTGGCGGATGTATGTATAATATAGCGTCTATGTATTAAAAACCCCCCTTGGGTCCGCCACTGACTGACAAGTAGTTTACAAGGTAAGCTTTTATTCTTATAATTTGAATGTGAAACAAATCGGACCACAAATAAGGATTTTCTAAATTCATTATCATCGGATTTTAGGTTATGTTTGGAGTTCGAGTCTCTAGCGCATCGGAAAGTGGCTTAAAAATTGAATGCAATATTTGGTTACACACAGGTGAAACTTAATAAAAGCTTGTGCGAAACGAGTGCAAAATTCATATTTAATTTGACTCTCCGATCTTAACAAGATTGGATCGCTAAAAACTCGAGCATGTAGAATCAACTATCTTGGGAATGAGAATGCACCATCTGCTGAATCATACGGACTATACAAATTCAGTCTATTATGGACAGGCCATTTATCGAGAATCGATGAGCACCTTCGTCAACTCGCAACCTTTGAATTCCATCACCGGAGACCAAATCGAACGAAGAGCTTGAAAAGCTTCGTGAGTGTCGCGAGACTTTGAGACAACTCCATTCGGGATATTCCAGCAGTTCAATTTGAATAAAATGGTCCGACGACCAGCTCATCTAGCATTCGTCTTCATACGACCCAAACCCTTCGAATCGGGTCTGTCTCTGAGCCTACCGTTAGATGAGAATGAAGACAACATGTAGTCAATAAACTTATTTAGCTACAACAAAAAAAAAAACTTATTCTGGACAATTACGAGGGGTGATCTAAATTAAGTCCAGTCAGAGGCATAATCACTGAAAACTTCGAGCCATCTCAATATAAATTTGAAGCATACATAACAAAACCCGGCAAAAGAATTTCTATGCCGCGCAAAAACACAATCAAACGATTAGAAAGTACTATACAGCAGAGTTGATAAGAAAAGCCACCATTGTTATTTTCGACAGGCAATATGTAAAACATCATCATGAATGTAATTGAGTGTCGGTAATAACCAGACAAAAGCGACTGGTAGCGACTGGTTGCCCAAATCCCCAACTGCCACCTACCACTTTCCTGTTTATTCAACCACGATTTCCTTGCTGCACTCATAACAACCAGTCCGTGCATCTACACACATACATACATATGCTACATGAAAATCGGAATCATCATCCTCAGTCCATCCATTCACAAAACAACAACATTGTTGCAGCACTTAGTTAAGAGGGAAATGGTTTGTTTTGCCGTTTTGTTTGCTCAGACAAAGTGGGTGGATGGAATGGCAAGTGGTTGATAGCATGTCAGTGTTTTTTGTTGTGTTTTTTTTTTTTTTTTTAGTCCTGAATAAAAGTATCTAAGTACATACTCCCGTGTCATATTCTTTGATTTTTTATCCATTGTCAACGCTGACACAATGGAGAGTGCTGCTATCTATTAAATATGTATTTGTTTGGTATTAAATTTCCAGTATGAATATGCTTCGTTTAATTTTTAATATTTGAGAAGCTAATGAAATTTTTTAAAATAAATTAATTGTATATTTATTTGCATTTACTTTCTGTAACTTAATATTTTATTAAAATTGTTTTCGATTTTCAATGCTAAAAAAAGGATGAGTTAGAATAATTAAAAAGTACATATGTATCCCTTAAAAAAGTTTTGCCTGATACTGGGGGGGGGGGGGAATAATTATGTACATACATATATGAATTTTGTGGTCCCTTTTATACTAATAAATGATGTAGGTAATGTAGAAACTAAAACAAAACCACTTCTAAAGCCCTTCAGTGTGGAGGAAACAGATCCTAGTACACCATTCGAACTCAATAAAATTAATAATGCTCTTCTCTTTGCACAAGTTTTTGATTGAAATACTTAAATACACGAAGGCTTTTGCTTTGGATAATCGAGTTCTCTCCTGTGCCTGGCATGTGGTACGCCAAGACATCGCACACAGATTATGGAGTTCGTTCCACTGGGTTCATACTAAACGCTGTTTCCTTCGCCTCCTACGCATACTGTTATGCGCTTCATCTTCCTGAAGGTCCTCCGGCAGAAGGAAGCTAATAAAGCAGATGCAGGCAAAGCTATAAGCGAACCTGCTATGAGAACAAATTCTCTATCAATATCGCTTAAACGAGTGAAGATATGTGTGTACGTTATCTTTTTTAGCTTTCGAAAACGTTCTCATTAAAAATAAGGCTACATCTTTGTGAATACAGAGGGTGGCTTTGATAATGCTGACTTAGAAAGAATGTGCAAAGCTGTTGTGCAAACAATCTGTCAGTGCCTTAATCCAGAAGATGAACGGAGTTGCTGATGACTATGCATTTTCGGAGGCGAAAAGGGATTGTCCTTAGGACGGCGTCTTTCCTCCGCTATTATATTTCAGGCCCGTAGACTTCCTGGTGGGTATCATAAATCGAACTGACGTTTACTGCCAGACTTACGCCGATTAATAATAATAATAATAGATAGGCGCTTACATATATGTTAGTGTTTGGCCGAGATTATAAGCAAAACTTATAAGGTCTGCAAATCCTCAGCATTTATAAGTTCTTTCTCGGGACCGTAGTTTAGGTTTGCCAATTGCCAACGTCTGTCCCTCCAGGGTGAAGGCGCTACTATACACCTTATCAGCTTACGTCTGGTGCTGCCTAGGCTCAGGTAGATACTGCACACTGATTTGGTGGAAACTAGTACCATTAGTTCTCCGCCACCCTGGAAACCTTCATTTTTCCAAAAATTTTGAACGATTGGTTAAATTTTCGTCCAACATAAATGAAGTTTACATCATCCTAACTAACATTAGATTAGATTATGCTGGCTCAACATTAAGGGCTGGTTTCTCCAACTCAAATTAGTTTAGCCAATTTTAGGTAAAAAGTAGGCTAACTTTTGACTTAAGTCCAAAAAATGGGTAAACTAAGTTAAGTTGAGTTGGAGAAACCAGCCCTAAAGGTCTCACAGAGACGAATATAGCTTCCATAGCGTTCCCTGTTAGCAATCTTATTAAAAGCCTCGAGTCTGTCCTTTTTGTTGATATTAGGAAATCAGTAAGTTCGCTATCATAAGAATTAAACATAATTTTTGAAAGAGTGCGACCCCGTGTCCTTGCAACCCCCGCTTGCAGGTTAATGAGCAGATCTTGTGATCTTTTGATTAGTGAGTCATTAGTTAGGCATCTAAGAGGACGCCCGCCTTGGCTAGCTTGTCAGCTCTCTTACTACCTCTTCCACAGTCCAGTGTCCTGGAAGCCAATATAGCTCGACGACTTTAGTCACAGCTAGGGTGACCAGACGAGTTAAAGGACAAATCGGGACACAGGAGAAAGTCCCCAAGAACACCTTCTTGCCTGCCAGAAATATTTGTTAGTCACTCACCTTGCATCCAGAAATATCAGCTTCAAGTCCATACACGCACGAAACATGAACATATTTGTATGTAGTTTAATTTCCGTTATCGCAGATGAAGGCAGGGAATGACCAACAGCAACAAGGCCCAGATTTTGTATACAACCACCATGACCATCGCCATAATCAGGAAATATGCGCGCTTTCAAGTACCCCGAACAGTGAATGACCTAAGAGAGAGAGAGAGAAATTTTATAAATTCGAATTTTAAGAGACCCACGAATATATCTCCTTTCAACGCACACACCTTATAACCGGACGTTGTGAGGCCAGCATTACGTTTCGCCAGCACGCATTTCATGCGCAGGAAGAAGGATTTTTGTATTTCGATCGTATGCGAACCACGATCACTGCCATAGCTGCCATTCGGACTGCCAATGACATTCGCATTGCCGGTGGGTGGATTGCCGCTCTGTGTTAGATGTAATGAGTTAATAAATGCATCCTATACATTGAAAGAGAAGTTAAAAAATTACGTCGACAAATTATGTCCACAAACACAAACGCAAACTGTGCTATGGCATTCATTGTAAAACTTACCGGATTTTGATACATGTAAGGATGCAGCGAGAGAATCGCATTCATTTCCTCCTGATCGTGCGTGTGGATATATTCAAATATCGAATTGCCAGTAAGTTCAACCTGTGTGATGTGTGAAGAAGGAAGAGAACGACACAGAAGGTTTGAAATTTTCCTTAAAAAAGATTTTTTTTTGTCGTCAAAAAAGATAATTATTAACTCTTATCTTTGGGAATTTGTGTTAACAGCAAAATGTGCAATTTGTATTCATATTTTGAGTGGTGCACAGATGCGAGTTCATAGGTATGCAAATTCATTCAAACTGTAAAGGAACATCTTCAGTGGTGTACATTTGCATATTCTGAAGCACAAAAAAAAAGCAAAATTATGCGCATAAATAAGAAAGCGGCAGTGTGTTTGACTAGTCTCTTCAGCGCACAGTGGATACAACTTATAATATTTCTAGTCAAAAATAAAAAAATAATTATGGAAATTAAAATTTGTATCAAAAACGAAGTGGTCGTCGGTTTTTTATTATAAACGATCGAGATGACGATAACAGTAATAAAAAACGACAGTACCATGTTACGAACTGCGAAATCGCTATTAAGCGGCCATTATCGGAAAATATCAAATAAATTACGAGCAAATGCAATCTCTGTAAAAGTCCTAAAGCACAATTTTTAATTTCAACCAAACTTCAGTCCGTTTAAAGCAGCGAAGGGCAGCGAGAAGCTTTTTAAAGCTTGCTGTAGATGTTGAATGTGCGCGTACATGGTAAACGCTCTCTCCGGCGATCGTTGGGCAATAAAAATGGTGATGGGCGCTGCCTTGCCCGCGGGAAAATCTCTTTAAAGCCTTCTATACATTTTGTATAGGCACATGCAGAATAAAAGCTCTCTCTGCTGAAACGTAAAGTAGGCTAAAAACGCTTTTCAACCGAGCAAGGAGATGGACAGTGAGTAACGGAGTAACCGCACGTTTTTATGAAAAATTTAGAAAAAGCTTATGTAAGCTTTGTACGATGGTACCCATCACCATTTTAAGCTAATACTTTAATGTTTAAGGCATGCTTTCTAAACTTTCAAAAGTTCTTCGTACAATTTCCATCATACTCTAGCTAGCACTAGTTAGTTTAAAAAGCTGGCTCGCGGGAAAAGCTCTTTTAAGTTTTCTATATTATGTGAATGTATGCCAAGCTTGAAAGAGCTTTGCCCGTGGGCAGCCCGTGCCCACCACTGATTTAAATCAATTGATCGACTCTTTTACATTCGCTTTGATAAGCTTCATTTGATTACACTCACCTGACTTAGACCCAATTGCACGGATGCCGTTTCCGAGATGTACATAATTTTGCCATCCGGCGCCACAACGAATATGAAACCGTCCAATGTCTGCAGCAAATGTGAGCCAAGCTCTTTAATAGAACCGCGTTGCATTGCCGGTGAAGTACCCCACGCCTCGCCCAGACCTAAAAGGCAAAAATGGAAAGAAAGTAGAAGAGAATAAATTGGTGATACTGAGAACAACAACAACAAAAAAAGCAATAGAAAAAGTCATATTTAATGAGTACAAAAAGGTGCGACGCAAAACGTATACCATGAACAAAATATGTCAAATGTATGAGCGTCTCACCTCTAACGGCGGCCGCATCATGCAAACCCCCTTACACCTCCCAAACCCCCCTCTGGTCCTGCAGTTTAACAACCCATGATGACGTATAAATATTATTCCCAATTAAAGTCATCAGCACAGTGGGATACTTGTAGGTCTTTTGTGTCACAATTCAACGGGTGTTCTGGGCGAGCGACCGAGCGACAGAGCGGCGTTGCGGTGACAGCTACCAACAGCGTACAATGGGCTGTGGATACTAAGCTTTCAGCCACCCACCGGCAGCTCGAAGGTAGTGTGTGAGCCTGTGCTTGCCGGCTGGTTCTCACAGAAATAACAATGCACAGTTATCAAGGCGAGTCGAGCCAGAGTAGCGTCACACAAACACACATACAAGTAGCACGCCAGTGCAGAGAGGGTGGCAGAAAAGTAAATTTAAGAAGGTGGAAACACTAAAGTGTTATGTCCTGTTTTTTACAACGCCGTTGTTGTTGTCTTCAATGGTTGTTCCGTTCTTACTGTAGTGTATTTTCTTTTTATTTTTAATGTTTTTTTTGTTTGTACTTCCTCTTGCGAGTATTTGCTTGTTTCGCTTGATTTGAGTTACTTTTCTGCTTTGTGATTTTTGTTGTAATACTCGTTTTTCTTTTACTTTTATTTTTTTTCAAGCATTATTGAAATAATTATTGCAATAAAAAAGGCACAAAGAATATTAAAAGAAAAAAAAACCGAAAAGGAAGCTTCCTCAAGTGGCACATATACCCTAACGGGCTTTAGTTCCGCCCCAATGCTTAGTATTCGTATTGGGGTCGTTGAGGGTGGTTGGAGGAAAATGTGTTGCAAATGTGTAACATATGTTTGGAGGTCTGTTTGGATGAATGTGTTTTTTATATATTCGTAGACTTAAGCTCAGCAAAATTTTCCCCTATACAATGTGCACTCGATGTTTATGTGTGTGTGTGTGTGTGTGTGTGTGTGTGTGTGTTTATATGGGCGTGTATGCCATTGAGGACATATTCTCACGTCATTGTTCTCTTTTGTTCAGAAACTACATAGCTCCTTTTTGTTTTTGTAGTTGATTTTATACCGAAGACTTAAATTTAATATTTCATGCGGTGAATAAAGGATTTTGGTGAAAAAGTGGCGGCCAAGTGTTTTATTGGTATCGATTTACTTAGATAGACTTCTAAACAGAAGTTTTGAGGCTAACATGAGCATTAGAAATAAAAATTTTGCTAAAAATTATCTGTTTTTTATAATTTTGAAAAGTGTTAAACACTTTCTGCAGATTTTTTTTATTTGTGCAGTCAAACCAAGGAGTCCGCTTTTTAAAGCTTTCTATAAATTTGATATGGGCGCACACGGAGTAAAAGCTCTTCTGGTCGCCACAATGAGAAAAAGGATTAGTTTCGACAACTAAAGATATTTAGTTCCCGAATTTTGACAATATTTGGGAACTGTGACCAAGTATTGGGAACTATTACCATGGGTTGGTAATTATAACTAAATATATTAAAGCTTCTAATATTCATCTAGGTTGTACCAAATCGTTAATTTAGTTGAAGGGTTTGGTAAATACTAATAAATATTTTTTTGAAGCATATTTCTACAAATTCCATTCGACTTAAAGTATGGTTCATAAAAGGATGCCATTAAGCTCTGCTAATACAGATAAGCTTTCTTTCAACACATGGATTAGTCATAGTTACCAAATCTTAGTTGATCGATTTGGTTTGAGAGCGGAATATATTCATGCTTATGAGCACCCCCCTAAATAATGATCAGCGCTCTCTGAGCTCATGTGTGTTTCACATACGAAGAGCGCCAGCTAAGCAATGCACACAGTCCCACTTATTGAATCGTTTGAATGCGCTAGTAGGCCGACCATTACATAAAAACGATTCAATGAATGAGACTGTGTGCGTGGAAATCACTGCTCCGCTACCGCTGTTCGTATACGGGTGAAACACGCGTGTGGTTACAGAGCGCTCAGTAAGCTATGGCATGTCGATCACTGCGCTGGGTAGAGAAAGAAAAGTGTGTGCTATGACAAGCCCAGGCTTGTTTGTCTCAGTTGCAGTTTTACCATCGCCGCGAGTTGTTTCGGTGTGGGTATGGTTATTTAAAAATATAAAGTTTGATGCCAACCGGCGTTTCTCAGTGGATATATAATTCATGTGAATTATAATTAGAAAGTATCTATTTAGCCAAGGAAAAAG